ACCTGTCAGGTAACACTCACAGACTGTCTGTGGTCCGTCCTGCAGGATCTTCAACATCAGTAATGGGAAGCAGAAGAAGCTGTATAAAGGCTCTCAGGGCGAGGACGGGACGCTCATTAAGGTAGGGGGGTCTGCTGTTGCCACGGTGATGCTTTTTTTTTTTTTTAACCTGGACAGGTGTTAACTGGCTCCTCCTCCTCCTGCTGTGATTTCAGGTGCAGATCGACCCGTCAGGACTCTACATCGCCACCTCCTGCTCAGACAAGAACATCAGCATATTTGACTTCTACTCGGGAGAGTGTGTGGCCACCATGTTCGGACACTCAGGTCAGTCACTGCTGGACTCAGCTCAGACGAGTGTCTGTGTGGATTCTGACTAAATACTTCCATTATACATATGTTATGATACAGTATTTGTTCCAGGTGTGATCAAAAAGTTCAGAGACTGTACCTGATTTAAATTAAATCCCCGCTGAAGTCCTCGTGTAGCGACACTCTGTTCCCAGTGCTCCTGAAACGCTCCCAGGAACATGTCAAGGTCCAGCCAGAGACATTTTAAAATAATTAAAATAAAACTAATTTTATTGAAGAAGAAGAAGTAGTCACAGGGAGACAATCTGGAGGGAAGGACGGGAGGAGAGAAATGTGTTGTGGACAAAAAAACACTTGAATCATCTCAAATCTCACAAAGAGTCAAGTCGTTTGCTTCGAATCGTGTCTGGACGTTACAGTAGAACTTGATGTTGACCGTCCAACTCTGAGGAGCAGATTCTTGGAACGTTATGTGTCTCTTTGCGTTAGTTTTGTGTCTTTGTGGCTGATTTTACGTCTCTTTGTTCATGTTTGTGTTTCAGAGATTGTAACGGGGTTGAAGTTCAGCAGCGACTGCAGACACCTGATCACCGTGTCAGGAGACAGGTACGTACGCCTCACCTGCATGTCCTCATGTCACTTCATCGCCATGACAACAGTGTCCTTCACCTGTCAGCGTTTATATTTAGCATTAAAGACTGTGCGTGTGTGTTTGTGTGCAGCTGCATCTTTGTGTGGCGTCTGAGCCCAGAGTTGACCATCAGGATGAGGCAGCGGCTCGCCGACCTGCAACCCCCCAGCAGCACCTCCAGCTCCCAGAATGCACCTCAGCAGAAAGCCACGAAGCTCAGGTAGACGTCACCTGACAACACGTTTCATCTGCACAAAAAGAAACAGAAAAACGTCACAAATTTTGTCCACAATTAAAATCTTAATGATGATGTGGTTTGTGTGTTTCAGCAGCCGGGAAGCTTCGACCCCTCGAGTCGTGACGATGTCTTCTGACAGCGACAAGGAGGAAGAGGAGGAAGAGGAAGAGGGGGAGGAGCTCGGCTGTCCTTATATGGTCACAGCAGGACGTCTGGAGGAGGAGACAGGTCTGTTACCGTGGTTGCACAGCATTTCAAAGATACAGTCACGTTTCTGTTCAACACATCTCCCCGGAAAAAAAAACACATTTTTGTTCCAGGTAACATGCAAAGCTAAACTCCGGTTAGTTGGATTCACATAAAAATCAGAGCGACTGAGCTGTGAATGAAAACCATTATTCATGTTACCATCATCACCAGTCCAGTCAAACGAGGTCACATCAAACATAAACTCGCCTGAGTCATGTGATCGAGGTGTTCACCTGATGCTCAACAGAACATTTTCCCTCCTGAGTTCATTAAATCATGTTTATATTAACACACATTCTGCTTTAATGTTTAAACTTGTGTTTTGTGTTTGTTTCCTCAGAAGCGACGGATGAGACGTACAGCAGAGACGACAGGACGGTTGGTAGATTTGAAAGCTTTTAAAGCTTTAAAGCTTTATAACATCTCATGTAAACCTTGATTTTTAATCAATTAATTAATCTTCAAACACAGCCAGCAGCAAATAGATGAACCATTTAGTCAATTAAAACTATGAAGAACTTGAGGTCTATAAATTATTATAAATATCCACATTTATTATCTTTAAAGTCTAGAGAAGTGGCCCTGAAGACAGATTTTGCTAAATAAAGACTACGTTTTAAAGGCTAGAAACCTGTTCAAACCTTTGTCAAGCAAACGTAATGCTTGTAGCGCTGCAGCTCTCTGTAGCCTCACAGTTCAGGATGTTTGTGTTCCTCAGGAGGCGTCGACAGGTCGACTTCCCCGCCGCCGCTGGTCCCGGAGGACGGGCAGCGCTGACGAAGTCCTGATGGTGAAGTCCATGTTGGACCTGAGAATGCTGGACTCGTACTGTCCAGACGAACAGGAGGAGGAACAGGTGGAGCAGGACGAGGTCAGTATACTGACGAATACGCTCCACACCAAACTCCATTTAGAAAACACATGATTTTAGAGATGAACCGAATGCATCATTAATTGTACCTGCTGTCCTGCTCGTCCAGGCGAAGACACGCCCCCTCGACTCCTCAACCCCCTGCAGCCAGAGCAAAAGGGGTCCAGGAGTGGAGGCGGGGCTTCACAGGACAAACCAGGAGCTGGGGAGTACCGTCAGCCTACAGGTCACGACTGCATGGGTGAGAACACGTGACATAACCTGGAAATCATGACATCTGGTCAAAAGATCCTGAAAAAGCTTGTCAGTGAACTTCAGATTGTGTTGTTAAGTTGATGTTTGTGTTTGTGTCCGTCCAGGTTGATGATGAGACAAGAACCAATCAGAGGCCAGACTTTATCCTGCTGTCCAATCAGAGCCCAGACAGGGAGGACCCGGTGCTGTATCCTGACCAATGGGAGGACAGAGTGAGCCTGGCCGGCAGGTGAGACAATTTCCTGATCTTCTAAACTAGCCTTGCATATACACCCCTCCTCTCATTTAAACCCCGCCCCCTGCTGTCAGTGAGTTCCAGGTGAAGGAGGCGTGTCCTGCTGCTGCAGGTGGACGGCAGGACAAACCCAGTCCAGACAGCGGCTGCTCGCTGGGATTCAACTCCAGACTGTCCAGTCCAGACAGACCAGCAGGAGAAGGTGAGCCAATCAGAGGGCAGAGAGACAGACACTGATCCGTCTATCATCAGTCTAACCTCCTCCTCTTTTTCTTCCTGTCAGACTCAGAGCCCACAGAACCGCTCAGCGTGGATGGAAACTCCTCTGAGCTGGACATGGAGGATGAGGATGAAGACGGAGGAGGACGAGGAGGTGGGGAGGACGGAGGATCTCAGCTCGTCCCTCAGACTCCAGACCAGGAGGCGTTTCTGAAGGAACACTTTGTCACACTGGCTGACCGTTCAGTGTCAGGTACTGCAACACAAAGCAACCAGCAACACTAATACAACTGACAACACAACCAGACACAACAACTCTATCACCAACACCTGCAACACAAGCAACACATTGGCTGACTGCTCAGTGTTGGCACATTAACGCAAAACACCCTAAAACTCAACAACATATCCAGCAACCACACCAGCAACACAACACAACCTGAAACACAACAACAGCAGTAGCAAAAGCACCACCATCACAACCAACAACACCATCAACACAACCAGCAACACCATTAACCCCACCATCACAACCAACAACACCATTAACCCCACCAACACAACCAGCAACACCATTAACCCCACCAACACAACCATCAACACCATTAACCCCACCAACACAACCAGCAACACCATTAACCCCACCAACACAACCAGCAACACCATTAACCCCACCAACACAACCATCAACACAACCACTGTGGTAAATGTCACCTGGTTCTTAACCACAAAACTTGTGAACTGTGTGTTTGCAGGAAGTCCAAGCAGAGCATCTCATAGTTCCAGTGAGAGTCTCAGCATCTCCTCCAGGTTCCTCTCCCAGAACTCATCTGCAAGGTAAAACACCAAATCACACAGCTGCACACTGATCATTCATAATCAATCACCAGAACCCTCAGACGCACTAAGAGTCAACGGGGCTCCACAAAATCATCACAAACATCACAGATGTGTCTCTTAGTAGTTGTTCAAACCAAGGATGGGCCCACTGGGGTCAGGCCCAAGGGTCCCCTGAGTTTTTGGCCTCGGAGCCTGACCCCAGTGGGCCCATCCAATGCTCTTTAACTGATCATGTTCAGGGTCCTGATCAGAAGCAGATGTGTTGGACGGTACACTCATAGCTCCATTGATATTAAAACTGTTCTTCCTTTGTCTTCCTCCTCAGTCGGACTGTGCTTCCTCTTCCATCTCGGAGCACCAGTGGCGGTGAGGGGGAAGCAAAGGCCCGTCCTCTGGTGTCTGAGGTCCGACCTCTGATGGGCGAGAACCACTGCAGAACCCAGGACAGGAGGGTGTCCTGGAATAAGGACCAAATCGAAAAACAGAACAAGGACCAGAACTCCTCACTTCAGGACCAAGTACAGTCTCAGAATAGGACCAATCAGGACCAAACACTTCATCAGATACAGAACCAGATTAAGCAAGGTCCAGACCAGTTCCAGAGCCAGGTGGAGGAGGAAACCTCCTCAGGTCAGCAAACCTACCGGCCCTCCCCGCTGAAGAAGAAGGTCCAAACGGCTGCAGAGTCTAGAAGGAACTTGGGCCCAACAGCCCGGGCTGCTGCATCCCACCTAAACTCCTCCACTGGACTCAGGAAGGCTCAGTCAGTCCAAAGTCTGCTCAGCGAGACAGGTAGCACTCTACCCATCAGACACAAAGGTGGACTGTAACACGATGATGATGAACTGTCCAAACAAGACTTTAAACTGACCTTTAAGGACTTGAGACTAGTCATGAAACTTGTGTTGGATTTGTCTTAAAAGCCTTTTTTCAGACTTTTCTTAACAGACTGAAGACTGGCTTCTGAGGACTAAAGATTTGTCATAAAGGAATAATCTCGAAAGACTTTCGACTTGTCTCGAAAGACTTTAGATGTGTGTCGAAAGACTTATTATCCAAGACTTCAGAGTTTTTTCAAAGGACCTTGTGCTTGTCATGAAGGACTTATCTTGTAAGATTTTGGACTTGTCTTGGTGGACTTAAATCCTTTGTATTTGTCCAAAGTCTATCAACATAAGTCCATCAAGACAAGTACAAAGTCTCTAAATATTTAGGACTTGTCTCAGAGAAGCTTGGATTTTTCTTAGAGGACTTTGTGTAACACTTCCTCTCTTTCCATCAGGTGACCCTTCTGTCTCCCAGGTGACCTCTCGTCCATCCGGAGAGGTCACTCCTCAGCAGCTTTTCCCCCCTCAGCGTCCCACCACCCTCCCCTCCTCCCCTAGACGCCCCCCATCCACAGGACTGCCCCCCCAGAGGCCCACACCCGCCTCCCCGAGGTCCCCTCAGCAGGAAACAGCTGCTACACCTGCTGCCGCCAATACCCCCAGAAAGTCTTCATCGTCCTCTGTGACTCCATCGGTGTCGCGCTCCTACATGAGCCCCACCGCTAGTTCCATGGCGAAAATGTCCCGCTCCGTCTCCGTGGGCGACGGCCTCAACGTCCCTGAACCCACCGATGAGCCCGCAGTGACATCACTGTCGGCGGTGGTAACCTCTTCCTCTCAGGTCAAAGACACTCCACCTCCTGTCGTGGCCGTGGTGCCATCCAATGCAGCTCTGACCACGCCCCCCCATGCTGCTGTTGTCCCTGTTGTTGTCTCCTCATGCCCCTCCTCGTCTTCATCTCTGGGTAACCATAGTAACCAGACGGTCCCTCCTCCCCGAGGTCTCCAAGCTCGTGTTCCCGGCAGCAGCAGGCCACTACCAGACAAGCCCTCGCTGGCCTCCTTCTCGCCTTCCTCCAAGTCGGCTGCCTCGTCGTCTTCCTCCACGTCGTCACGGCCTCCTCCGGTCTCCGTCTTCCCTCTGACTCCCCCCCGGCAGGAGGAGGAGCCTCAGACTATTGCAGGCAGCAGCGCAGAGCAGGCGGACGACGCAGGTTTGGACTCTCATCCTCCTCTTCATCCCTTCATCCTGTCGTCTGTCTGGCTCGGCCTCTCATCCTCACCCTCCTCCTCCTCCTCCCTGTCCTCTGCAATGGGTGAGGCCTTTCACTCCTCTGTCCTCCTTTTATGTTTTCTGTTGTCCTCTCTTTCTTGTTCCCTCCATCATATCGGTGTCATTGTAATAGGGATGTCCTGATCAAATTGGGGGTTTGGGGGCTTTTTTACCCTGACCTGATCCAGGTCCTTTAATGTTCAGTATCTGCTGATACCAAGTCCCAAGTCAATACCATTCAATACCATAGATACACACCTCAAGTACAATACAGTTAATAAAATCAATCCTGTGTATGTTCTTAGAACTGAATACCTCTGCAATGCATTAAAGAACTATTGTATTCCTGCATCCAGGCTGTTCCTTAATGTTCTGTAGGTGTTCAGGAACCTGTAAAAGAGGGTAAGGTTTACAGTGGCTCCACAAGTTCTACAAGCTGGAGAAGACCAGTATCTTAGACAGCAATACCAGCACTGTACAAATGTCCACTTTGCTCAGTTTGTGTTACCATCAAGTGATTATGGGATGATAATGCTGCTAATAATTCAGAACTGGATTTGCTAACACTGTGCCATAACTTGTGGTTTCCTCTTCGATACCTGTGGAGGATCGGCCTGATCGATACTGATCAGTTACAAACATGCCTTGATCGGCTGCAATCCCAACCTTTGGAATCGGATCAGGACATCCCTGCTGTGTGATATAATGTGATTTTGTTGTTTATTAATGGAAATGCTCCTCCATGAACTGTTGCTGCTATCTGTCTCTGTGCAGACCAGCCAATCAGCGTGGAGACCTGCAGGGCTCTGACCAATGAGCTGCAGAGCTGCTTTAAGAGAGCAACTCACCTGTACAGGAAGGTGAGAATCTGTGATGGATGAAACCCTCTCAGCAGAGCAGATTTCAGTTTGTTACCAGTTTGTTAGAACAATTAATGGATTCCAGTGAAGAGGACACTTTAAATTTATAACCATAGATCAATGAATTTATCAGTCTGCATTAGATCACTGAAAGCTCGATTGTATTTGCCAGAACTAACGTAGCCTCTTGGATCAAAGTTAAACATCTTTAAGACACAAACAGAAGTCCTTCTACGGGATTCATTACGAAACTCACCTTCATCCTCCTCCTCCAGGTGAGCGGCTCCTCCGCCGATGACTCCACCCCCGACCAGCGCCAGATGTCTCTCCTCCTATCAGAGGCCTTCCAGGCTATGAGGGCGGAGCTAGACGCTCTGCCGCTGAGCGCACCAAGCATGCTGGGAGTGGAGGGGGGGCTGGGAGGGGTGGGTGAGGTGAAGACGGCGGCGCTGCTGGAGGAATACTCGCTGCTGCTGCTGCAGGCCGTCCACAGGAGGATCAGCAGCTCCACATGAAGAACCGACACCGAGCCTCCTCCTCGTCATCATCTGCTGCTGCTGCAGGAGGATCAGTAACTCCAGCACTCCTCTACATCTGCTCCTCCTCCTCCTGCAGGCCTCACACAGGAGGGTTAATGTCACACTACAGAGGCTGAACAGAGGAGCCGCACACTGATGCTCCTCTTCATCCAAAACCACCTTCTCCTCCCCCTCATGCTTTCATCTCTCCTAGCTTCATCTATTTCTCTTTATCCCCTTTTTAATGCACAGTTAACAACATCAGTGCAATATCACTTTATGGCAAACGATTGTAAATTGTACCCCCTTACAGTAATCAGATTACTTCTAGGTTGAACAGTAGAGTATTTGTTCCGATGTCAAATTAAAAGCTAGCAGTTTAAATTCACTTTTAGACAATGTACTCCACGTGTCCACCTTTATTCCTTCTCAGCATAAAGGAAACCAGAGAGTCCACAGATTTCTGCAAAGAAGTTCTGACGTTCTGCTCTTTGCTGGTGGGATTGTGTTGCTCAGCATTCATCTTTAAAATACCCCAAATGTGTTCCATTAAATTCACACTGTCCAGGTCAGAGTTTTGGTTTCTAGAAACTCCTCTGCAGACTGGAAGTCATCATGTCAGCCAGCACTTTGATGATCCACAATCATTAATGGTACGTCTACTGTGGCTGGCTGCTTGCTCAAAGAGAAGTTAAAGGGAACTTTGGATTGCTGGTGACCTTACTAAGGTGAAGACCTGACAAACTTGCTATGAGATAACTTGTGAATTGGTGCTATAGAAATAAAATTGAATTAAACTGAAATCTATAAACGTCATCAACACCTTCTGCCCTCATGCAGCCACATATCATGATACTGCCACCTCCGTGCTTCACTGTACTTTCTACTTCGGGGTTTAAATTTTCAGTATAATCTTTCTAAAGTCTTTGTCTTTGATTGTTCATCAGAGAAAATACTCTTCTGTTCAACTTAGAAGTAATAAAGGGGAAACAAATTAAAGTCTTTCGACATGTCAGTGGTATTGCCCATTGGTGTACTCACTGCTGTTTCTTACTTCTCTTCTTCCTTTTCCATCCTTCTCTTGTCTCTGGTTTTCTCCCTCTTCTTCTTTCTATCGTCATCTGTTCTTTCAGTTGTTTCTGTCTTCAGCAGTGTATTTTGTTTGTCTTTCTCTTATATTTTGTCATCTTTCTTTCTCTTCTACATCAGTCTTATTTTTTCCTCCACTTCACAGATGAAGGATCTGAAGCCATTTTGATTTGCTTCTGTTTTTATTCTCTCTCGTCTGAAACTGAATGACTTCTCAAGACGTTTTAGTTTTTTAGAAAACGTTTCATCGTTGAAGGACCTCCAGCGTTTTTTACCAAGTCGTTTTTTAAAAGACGTTTTTTCTCTGACTGAACCTCGGACGTTTTTTCTCCACGTTCATTCCCTGGAGTCCCGTCAATCTGAAGGACCGATCGGATTATTGATTATCGTTGTTGTTAGACTGTAGAGAAACTTGATCAACGAGCAAACAGCAATACAGACTTTCGAACAAACTTTTCGTTCATTGTTTGATGTACATTTTCTTAGAGTTCAGCGTGACATAATCTGGTGCTGAGCTGATCTGATAACACTTTGTATTTATTGTGCTGATGAGCTGTTACACTACTGACTCTGTCCTCTGCCTGAAACTGACCGGCATTTTTCTAGAACCGCCAGGTAACGTCTGCTCTTCTTTTACTGGAGGTTGTACATTTTGATAATTGTTGTTAGAGAAACACTTTCAGGATTTGTTGGTTAAATTTGGGGAACTTTGTCGTAACTTTCTTCACAAACAGGTCAAAGTTGAGTTTGGAATGTTTTCATGTTTTTGTCACATTAAATAAAACTTTCAGACTTCTTCTGATACTTCTCTGTTTGCTGCACTTTGCTTTATACGTCATCGCCGTCTTCTTGCCACTGAACTACCTCTATTCAACAACTGTTTCACTATAACATTAATATTTTTTAAATAATAATGATGACACAGTTTACAGGTTAACCATCTGAACCCCTAAAACCCACTAGTTGGTTTAAAAGGTATGTTCATTTTAAAAAGTCACCAAAATTACACATTTTTTTCAACAGTCTTTGAACTTCTCTGTGTTGTAGTGTTCTGTCAGAAAATGTAACCAAATATGAGCTTAAACTGGTAATATTTCCTTAAAAACTGCTGTATTCTGTAGGTCTCATTTTAAAATTCTCCAACTTACTTATATATTCCTGTCTTTGATGTTTTCATGCACTAATAGATTTTTGACATTTTGGTGCACTAATATCTAGTTTTTGATAATTGGTTGCACTAATGTTCAGATTTTTAACCCTTTGGCGCACTAATTTGTGGACTAAAGTGCAATGAAAACGATTATTTCAGGAAGCAGTTGTTAGTGCAATCGCCAGAAAAAGAGAAGCAGTAGGAACCCTCTGATGTCAAGTCTATGAACTGGTAAGTATGTTGTAATATGTACACTAAAGGATGTCAATATAAATCCTAAAATAAAAACTCAGAAAAAGTATAGTATGTTGTAAAAAACATATAGTATGTCATAAAAATACATTTTAGTATAGTATGTCCTAAAAAACCTAATGATATAGAATATGTAAAAAACTTCATAGTACAGTATGTTATAAAAACATAATATAGTATGTTGTAAAAAATGTAATAGTATATGACATTGTAAGAAATGTCAGAGTATATTTCATAAAAACAGTATAGAATGTCGTGAAAACATTATAGTATAGTATGTTGAAAAATGTCAGTATAGTATGTCTTAAAACGTCATAGTATAACATGTCGTCAAAAATGTGGTAAAAACGTCATAGTATAGTATGTCGTGAAATCATATTATAGAATGTCGTAAAAAGTTATAGTATAGTATGTTGAAAAATGTCAGTATAGTATGTCTTAAAACGTCATAGTATAACATGTCAGAAAACACAGTATGTTGTAAAAATGTCATGGTATAGTGTGTCAAAAAAATGTCAGTATCGTATGACGAAGATATATCATGGTATAGTATGTCGTAAAAATGTTATAGTATAGAATGTCGAAAAAACATCATAGTAAAGCATGTCAAAAAATGTCATTTCGACATACTATAGTATGTCGAAATACATTGTAGTTTAGTATGTCGTTTAAAAAAGTCATGGTATAGTATGTAAAAAGAAAGGTAATGTTACAGTATGCCGAAAAATGTCATGGTAAAGTATATCTAAAAAATTCATAGTTTAGTGTGTCGTAAAAAAAGTCATAGTATAGTATGTCAAAAAACGTCATAGTATAGTATGTTGTAAAAAAAAAAGTCATAGTATGCCGAAACATCATAGTATAGTATGTCGAAAAATGTCATACTATTGTATCATGTTTCTACATACTATACTATGTCATTAAAAAATGTCATAGTGTAGTATGTTGAAAAAAATGTCATAGTATTGCATGTCAAAAAACGTCATAGTATAGTATGATGAAACATCATATAGTATATCGTAAAAAAAAAATCATAGTATAGTATGATGAAAAAATTGTCAGTATGTCAAAAAACGTCAAAAGAAAGGTAATGTTATAGTATGTCAAAAAATGTCATGGTATAGTATGTCAAACAAAGTCATAGTTTTGTGTGTTGTAAAAAAAAATGTCATTGTATAGTATGTAAAAAAACATCATAGTATAGTGTGTTGTTAAAAAGTCATAGTATAGTATGTCGAAACAAATGTCATAGTATAGCATGTTGAAAAAAATGTCATAGTACAGCATATCAAAAAAAATGTCATAGTATAGCATGTCAAAAAACGTCATAGTATAGTATGTCAAACCATCATAGTATAGTATGTCGTAAAAAAATGTCAGTATAGCATGTCAAAAATGGTTGT